AGGTCCAGATGGCTTTCGCTAACCTGCATCGCTTGTGGCGCTGACGCGACTGTCACTCCTAGAAAGGCCACGTTTGCAATGCCACACTACGCACTTACTCTACGACTGTGAGAGTAGGCCCCTCCGCGCAGAAGACGTACGAAGATTAATTGTCTTTGACCACCACTGCCTTCGATGCATCGCCAAAATCCGTTGGCAACAGCGAATCACCAACAATAAGGTTCGCTGAAGAATCTTTGCCTCAGACAATCTGTAGTTTTCTGAGCGCCGTCATCATACTCCCAAGATTTTGGTGGCGAATATCGGCCCAACGACTGCCCATCGTGTTATGTTTGAAATTTCACAATATGCCCATTTTAACATGAGAACACGAACTCAGAGGCGAAGAATTCTTTTCACTGATCCATCTTCTGGCCTGTATAGATCAAATAGGAAAATGGAACGGGGATGGTCATTTAGTCATTCAAAAATCACGTTGATTGATTGAAAGGGAGAGGAATGGGTAGGGGTGGGGGGTGGTGCGACGTGTTTCACGCCCCTAGATCACCACAGCACTGCAATCAAACTGTGATGCGTCATCCGTGCGATCGATCTTCGGCCACGGTAGTTGAATAGCATGGGCCAATCTTTTCGGTGCGCATAGATTGGGTTTGAATAAACGAATGCCAATCGCTTCCGCAGCGGCTAGGGTGTGGAGGCGCAGCGACTTGGATGGGTGAGGTGGTACTCGACAAATGACTTTGAAGGCTGATTCAGGCTTCACTTGATGACCTGAGTCTGTTAGATGAGCGAGGATAGCGCTTTCTAGGACACCTTTTCCACCGGGTTGAAATCAGCGTGGGCAATGCTCTTTAATCCGTTGAAACAGATGCCTCGCCGTTCGGCCAATGCAGATTGCGTTACAAACGCAGCTGAAGGAATATATAACCACTGATGAGGCCAGCGTAGGTAAGCTGTCTTTATTGGGTGTTCTTATTATTGGTGAGCCAGTGAATACGCATGATTGCAGTGTTGTGGTGATCTAGGGGCGTGAAACACGTCGCGCCACCCCCACTCCCCCCCCCACCCCTACCCCTACCTCATTCCTCTCCCTTTCAATCAATCACCGTGATTTTTGAATGACCAAATGACCATCCCCGTTCAAAATGCCATTTTCCTATTTGATCTGTACAGGCCAGAAGATGAATCAATGAAAAAATTCTTCGCCTCTAAATTCGTGTTCTCTTGTTATGCGATCATTGAGAATTCCATATCCGGTCCCAAGATGAACTTAGTCCCAGATAACCCATGAGGTTATATTTCCTTTCCCGAAACATTTGTTTACGTTTTTTGTGACCGAATACTGATTTATATATAAACAGAGTAATATTTATTGTGATATATTTGGCATGACTATGAATCACGGAAAACGAGCTTGTTCGCCGCTTTTTGTTCTATTCTCGTGTTATGTTTGCGCAAGCTGACCATAAACGAAAGCGGCGAAAACGTGGGCAACGAATAACCAGAGCCCGAACGATGAAGGATTTAACCCCAAAACTGTCAGTGGTAGGATACTCTAGACTCCCAGACTGCAGTCCCAAGGACGACGAACACCAACGGCTTGAGACACTAGCCGACATGGCTGGTG